AAGTGTAACTATACAATTTCCTTAAATTTCTATCTTGAATTTTATTTCTATCTTGAATTTTAATTGTATTTCTGGTAAACATTTTGTATTATAAACATATTATTAAACATTTTATTTATGATTTCGATACTGAACCCAGCGAGATATTACATTAAAATTAGTGTATTTATGATATATTTCATCTGTTATCCGTACAGAATTTTCTATAGCTCATCAGAAATTACCTCATGTGGTGACTATATGTTGGTAGTTAAAGCTCTAATTTTGAAAATATTATAATTATATAATATTTTAAAATATTGAACATCTTTTAATCAAATAATCGGTATCTGTACTGACGGTAAATTTAGTATTTAGATACTATCAATATATTCGATTATATTGATAACACGCTAAAATAAGAACATTTTTCTTTTGTCGATTATCTCACAATCATTCTACTGTCAATACTATTTTAAATATCAACGTTATACTATACTAACATTTCTGTGTCAGCTATCCTTTATGAGTCGAATTTCTGGAATTTTAATATCTATAAACCTTCTCGGTACAATGTGGAACCAATTTTGGAAAAATTCCTGTAAAATCGGTACAGTGATTTTTCAATCCATAAAGGACATACAGACGGACAGATATTCACTTTTATTAAATTTCATCATCACGATATTATTCTAACGAAATATCTAAATTTCTCACTAGAAAGGAATTTGCCCACCCATCTCCATTTTAAACACTAAAATTAGAATTGATACCGAGTTAGTTCATCGATAATAATGATAATTTGATTATTTTAAAATTAAATGACTATAGTGTATTACGAATATCTTGCCGATATATTTTGCCAGCCTGGTTAGAAATAGTGACTTTTTTGTTTATGTACTATTATAATGGAATTTGAATTTCTAAAAAATTATATAACCGATTTAAAAATGTTTTTAATATAGGTAATTCTGTCAATCCACGAGATAAAAAAAAAGGTTGGAAGGGAGCATCAATCATACAAGATAATAAAACAAATGAACAAAAACATTTTTTTGAAAATGCAAAATCAATATTGCAGCGTTTACCTGAAATAGCTAATGAAATAGCCGTTGCCATCGTCTCAGACATAGACAAAAACGTTACTCCAAATCTACCTAATGACCCACCCATAACCTGGGGAGTATTAAATAATCTTATTACCAATCTGAAAAAAGTAAACGCATTTCTTTAGTTATACAATCAATAATATTGC